GGCATAGCTTAAGCGTCCAGCAAGTGGATGGGTGGGATGCTCTCTTTGGTACAACTGCAGTCAGTAAATCACCTGCCGGATTTCAACGAACCCTGGCCAAATCTTTTAAAATTCACTTATCAAGTTCTATCCCTGGGGTCAGGCTTCTCAGGGCAACAGCACACAGCAAGACATCTTTCTGGATCAGCACTGTGGCTTTCCCTCCTTCCAGAGGGTGACGTGTGAAGCCTAATCTCTATCTGGCATAGTCTCCCTATGTCATGAGTAACCCCAGAGACAGTGCTTCAGTTTGGAATCACTTCTTGCCCCCAGTGCCAAAGATCTCTGTAATGTCTGACCTCCATCACTACCCAAAAATATGTTTTAGCACCTTGGAAAAGTTCTTATCCACATTCTGAGTTGAGGCCAAAGCTTTCAGCGAAGTTTTCCAAACTTCAGTTCGGCTAGCTGCTTACAGAGGCTTGAAGGAGTTCCTTTTCAACGTATGCAATTTCAGAACTCATGTTTTGAAAAGTTTAAAGAATGGTCCCATAAATACCTCTGCTATTATGCCCAAGACTGACTTCATTCTTAATAGGAGCTCTATCTCATTACAGACTCTCTGTAGCGTTCTTACTACTATCATAGGACCAAGGGGGTCTTGGCTGTCAGGCTCCCAGAGTGAGAAGAGGCAACAGAATGAAAAGCTGCTTCTCAGATTCCCCTCGAGGCACAGAAATATCCTGGGAGATCTGTGAGGCTGTGCCAGTTGTTGGCTGCCTCTTTGTGTCCTCAGAAGCCAATTAGTGGTCCAGCTCTCCTGCATATTCTGCCCTCTGAGCTGAAGGTAAACTCTACCTCTATTCTCAGCTGATTGTCCTAATTCTAAATCTTCTTTTAGTTGCAACAATATTTTTTCTTTTACTCATACTCCTCCAACTGGAGGAAGAAAAATTGCTATAGGGTAATTTTAAGAAGAGATTAAAATGACTAAGCTAATATTTTTAGAGTTATTTACATTTTACGATGTACAAAGTATTGTATGGTTGGCTGGCTTCTAATTATCTTCCATCTATGTTACAGATCATACCTCATCTTTCTATTCCTTAAATGTGTGTTCCTCTATTGTGAGATGAACTCCAGGAAAAATGCTTTAATCAAGTTAATTACAACCACGATAGTACCAAAATGCATTGCAAAAACAATGCTCACTTTTCAATATTCTTGGAGGTTCCTTGGGTGTCTTTTATTCACGAGAATCCCTAGATGCCTTCCATTTCTCAGAGTCCTAAACTTACCTCCAAGAGCTTCCAAGAAAGAGAAAGAGAATCTATAGCTAACTCCCTGTAGTACTGTTATGGACTGAATATTTGCATCCCCCACTCTTGCAAAATTCGTATGTTGAAGCCCTAACCGTCAGTGTGGCTCTATTTGGAGACGGGGTCTCTAAGAAAGTAATTAAGATTAAATCAGGTCATAAGGGTGAAGCCCTGATCCAACAGACTGGTGTCCTTAGAAGCAGAGACACCAGAGTGCTATCTTTCTCTCATTCTCAGTCCCTCTCTCCCCGCACACCGAGGAGAGGCTATGTGAGAACACAGAGAGATGGTGGCCGCATACAAGCCAGGTGAGAACCCTCATCAGAATCTCAAACTTGCTGGCACCTTAATCATGGACTTTCAGCCTCCAGAACTGTGAGAAAATAAATTTCTGTTGTTTAAACCACCCAGTCTGGGATATTTTGTTATAGCAGCCTGAGTGCCCTAAGCACCTATAAAGCTTCAGAAGGTTTTAAGCTGAGGTGCATGGATAGAACTGTGGTTCAATAAAATTGATTTTAAATGTAATCCTATGAAGTTCATGCATTTAGAAACATTCTGAGAAGAGCTAAAAAAGCCTTCACCAGACTGTCAGTGAGGTCTGTGGCACCAAAAAAAGATTAAGAACCTCCTTACCTTCTTCTGGCAGACGTAAAATAAATATATGTGGTGTCAATGTGACATGCTTCTCCAAGTGTTTTCAACCATAAATTTTACTAGGACCTAGTACCTTCTAGCCTATAACCTTTAACCATAATAAAATCTGTAGATCAATATAGACACAGATGAGGAAGAATATGATACAGAATTTTCTGAAATATTTAATTCTACCAGATAGATATGTTGAGTGTCTTCTATAGTATAACTGTACATGTAGGTACCATATGCATGTACCATATATATCATAGTATACTGCATAATAAGTATTACAAATTACCATGAAGATTGTAAGGTAATTTCAATAGGGCAACTAAAAATATTATCAATAATATTTTAAAGCTGAACTGTAAGAGTTCTTCCAGTAAAGCAGAGCTGCTGACATCTGAGATGGAAACAGTTCACACATTTGCAGACAGTGCTTTGAGAAAAAGTTAATGAATCAATGCCAATGAGCAGAGGAAGAAAGTCAATCAAATACTTCTGCTGTGTTAGGCACTAGCCAGTGTAAAGAAGAAGTCAGTGATTTATAAATAGGTCTAAAGAAACTAAATATCATATCTGGGAGAAATTATCATCACCATCACCATCACCCTCCCCAGGGCTGAGACATCTCACAATTCCATCAACATCAAATCCTACTGCCAAAACAACAAACCAGTGCTTTATAAAATACAGAACTGGGGAAGAATTAAGCAAGTAGAGGGCAAGCTTTCATGGTTACGTAAGTAAAATAGCTATGAAAACAGACTTTTGTGGGGAGGGTTCTTTGTATTGTATTTGTACACAATTATATTTATAATTTTTATAATTATATATTGTAAGAAGTTGTATAAAAACAGGCAATATATAAATACTACTATCACCCTTCAACAGTTCAACTTAATGAAATGGCAAAAAGACATGAGAATGTAAATAACAGAAATTCTTATTTCATACTGTCTGTTCCCAATATCCTATTGAGTTGACTTTACTAGTTACGCTCAAACTAGCCTGCAATTGGGAAAGAGAAAATTGCTATAGAATAATAAAAAGCCATATTTAAAAAAACTAGATTAAGCTATATTCAATAACTTGCAGCAATCTATAATGAAAAATAATATGAAAAAGAATATATATGTACAATTGAATCACTGTGCTGTACACCAGAAACTAACACAACATTGTAAATCAACTATATTTCAATTTAAAAAAAACTAGATTAAACTAACATTTGTAGAATTCTTCACATTTTATAAACGACTTTCACACACATTCTCTGAAGTTATTTCATAGTTGTCTATAAGAGGTATGTATTTTACAAGTATTGCTATAACCAAAAGAAGATTTAAAATTAGTTTCTTTAAACTACCAAATTACAAATGGTTTTAGTATTCATTTCTATGAGGTACACTGGTCAGATGTCTGTTTGTCTTTGTTCTATTGTCTAACCCTACAGTTTAAATGAACATTGAATAATTAATTACACTGAAATTAGTGCTAATAGGTATACAAAGTGATGAGAGAGAAAGAATTAGTCAATTGAGCAAGACGTGTAGAGGTATGCACGTTTTCAAGCATGGACTCCAAGAGATGAGTCATTTCCTTAGTGGATAGGTAGTGATAGAAATGGGAAGTGGGGACTGTTTCTGGAAGATATACCCAAACCTCTGTGCCCCTTCCTCTTCCTGTTGAATGGGCCCTTTTATACTTGAACCTGACTGCAAAAAATGTAGGGAGCCACCCACAGGTCTCAAAACTAGCAGAGGGGATATATATATATGCTGAATCATGTGGTTTGTTATAGAAAGTCAAGTAACTAGAATGTAGAGTGCATTCTAAGGGGCTGATGCAGACAGCTGGGCTGAGGCCAGGTCATAAGAAAATGTGAATGCCAGGCTAGCGAGGCTGGAATTTGTTCAGGAGTCAGTGGGGAGCCATGGAAAGAATAAGTGGATAACTACTTTTTAAAAAAAGTCAACATTTCTTTGGGTTTTATGACACAGATAGGAAGACATTACCTGTCTTGTTCATCCTTGTATCCCCAGCACCCAAAAGAGTGGCAGGCACATAATAGGAGCTCACAGTATATTTGGTGAATGAACGAAGACACTTGAAGGGATCTCTGTGAAGAAATGACACAAGATTTGAAAGCCATTTAGGATAATTTTAAATGTGGGGGAGGCAATGGGACAATATGCACCGAGACTCATAAACATTTCTATCATTTAAAACAGGAACTTTATGAGTAAAGCTTTTCTGTCCTAAAGTAATAATCCTCAATAAGGAAAAGCTTTATGCATAAAGTTTATTACAATATTGCTTTTAATAGAAAAATGGAAATAATCAGTCTAACAATTGGGAAACAAGTTATTGTGTGCCTTTTTCCTGTGGGGTATTTAATATGCTGCCGTTAAAATTATTATTACAAAGATAATGTAATACCAGGGGAAAGTATTTATATTATTATATTGGGAAAAAACAAAATATCCTACCAAGATGCACAACTTTAGATAGAGTATGATTATAAATTATGAGGAGGAGGAATCTCTCTCAGTTAAGAGTTTGTCCGGGGGTGGTTTGTAACATTTTTTCTTTCTTTTCCTTTTACCCTTCTGTGTATTTTCCCAATTTTTCATAATTACTTCATTTACTCAGTGAGTATTTACTGAGAGGCCACTATGTGCCAGGCACTGCTCTAGGAGAAACAGCAGTGAATAAATAAAACACAAATTCTGTCCTCAAGGAACTTACACGTTTTAGTTGGAGAAGGCAGAAAATAACCAAGTTAATGAAGTGGCATGTTAGATGATTAGTGATCGGCAAAAAAATAAGGCAACGAAAGAGAATAAAATCAATACTACATTTGCTTGTTCACCTGCAGGGAAAAGATACTCATCCACATAAAAGGATATGGGGCCGAATTCGGAACTTGCCCAGCGGTAAACTGAGCGGGCCGGGATGCGCCAGCCCTGCAGGTGCCGCTGCAGCACGGGCCGGGCGGGCGCGTTTAGGTGGGGCGAGGGAGCGCGAGGTCAGGCGGGTCACGTGACTCGAGGGGGCGGGAGGAGGAGGACCGCGAAAACACGGAGTTTGGCTCAGTACTTTCTCTTCGGGAAGGCGGGCGGAGCCGAAAAACAAACGTCTTCTGAGCGCTTGGGGGCGGGGCAGACGGGAGCATCGGAGCCTCCGGAGCCGAAGCCTTCGCCGAGTTGGCTTTTCGGTTGCTGGTCGCGTTGGCCGAGAGGTCTGAGGTCGGGCTGAGAGTGGGGAGCAATGGCGACCTTTGTGAGCGAGCTGGAGGCAGCCAAGAAGAACTTGAGCGAGGCCCTGGGGGACAACGTGAAACAGTAAGAGCTGTCTGATCGCAGGCTCCGGGCCTCCGCGCGGGTGCTCCCCCGGCCTCGGGCTGACGACCCACCCCGGAGTCGTTCCCTGCGGCCGCGAGGCCTCTGCAGCCCTCGCGTCGCGGGCGGCGGGGCCTCTGGGTTTCCTCGGGCCCGGGGCCGGCCCGGGGCCGGCGGGCAAGCCCGCCTCACCGCGTTGGAGGGGCCGGGCCTCCCGGGTTCTTTCGGGACTCGGGCGGGCGCCTTCGCCCGAGGCTGTGCCCTGGGTGGGGCGGGAAAAGCTCACCCCACGCCTTCAGTGACGCCCAAGGGCCTTTAGAGCCGGTGCGGGCCCCGGCGCGAGGGTGCGGGACCGTGTGCTTGCCAGCAGCCAGGTCCGAGCTGGCACCGCGTAGGGCGGCCGCTCCAGGAGGGCTTCCTGGAGGCGGAGGCTTGTTGAGCTCGAGTGTTGTGCAGGCACTGTCTGCAAGAGCGTGGACAGCAATTTCGGAAGGCCGACAGACCCATCGGTAAAATAGCCACCGAACGCTACTGCTGTTACAGTGATAATAGCAGCAGCGGACATTTATCAAACGCCTTTTAAGTGCTCTAAATGTACAATTTCATCTAATCCTCACGAGGGAGATGTGAGATAGGTACAGTTATTATTACCTTTTGATAGATGAGAAGACTGAGATCGTGAGAGGTTAAGTAACTTCAAAAGTCACGGCAGGAGTGGGACCCTCGCGTCTGACTTCTGGCTCTGATTCCTTATAGGGGGTTGCAAAGGACCCCAGAGGCGCCCAGCCAGACTTTCACCAGGTTATAGCAGGGGACCCAGTACAGAGTCGGGCCCGTTGCTGAAATGGCCGAGTGTTGAATCAATAATTCAGCCAAGGCCGAAGTCATAGAAGGAACCCTCCGAGGTAACAGGGACGAGTTAGGGAATTTTCAAAACAGTCTTATTATTACAATTTTATTTCTCAAAAGTATAAGAAGCAAATTTTAAACGTTTAAAATTATAATGCGTGTGTTGGCGCTGCTAGGTGGTTTCTACACATTTGCATTGCTCAGTAGACGCGCACTTTCAAATGATGTTTCTCGAGGAGCTTTTCTTTTTTTTTGTTTGGGGAATACTTTTCTTTTTCTCCAACACTTTCACCTTCTCATCTTTCTATTCTTTATCATGACTGGATTGAAGTTAAGTTAGAAGTCCTACGTGAGTTTTGGAGTTCTTGTGAAATTTTGGGGTGGCAGAATTGACATTATATTTTTCATCCTAACAGAGATATGCACAATTCCCACGTAAGACTTCTTGAAATACTCATGGCCTAAATGGAGTAACTAAAAACAAAGTATAAATTTTAAAGATTATTTTGATATTAGGAACGTTAATAAATCAAACTACAAAGACTAGAATTAAAATCTAATAACCTGATCTATTATTTTGGCATAGTTATTTAATTTTTTGTAAACACCAATTGACTGCCAAAGATAAAATGTTTTCCCTAAGGTTATGTTTCAATATTCATGTTTACTTTCAGTCTATTTCTGTGCTTAATTAAAAATTCTTAAATATTTTAATAGGTAAAATTGAGAGCTTTTATCTTCATTAATTACTATGGCTGATTATTTTTGTAATACTGATTGCTAAAATTAACATTTTTTAAGCACAGTGGACTTTTCACTCTGTTACATCTGGGATGCTTACAAATATTTGAAAGTGAATGTTTCCATACCACAATAAACCTGAAGGGCCTGGCTTGTGTGCATAATTGACTGATTAGATGCTATGGTGATCTCTGTGACCCCACACTGTGACCCCACACTCTTCACACAGGTGCGGGGTTGCCAGAAAGGTTGAAGTTAGTATACCCTGTTTGGTCTTTAAAAGGTCAGTGCTGTCAAATACAGATGCTAAAGGTAAGTTTGGTGCATCTGTAGCTGAATCTCTATTAACAATGCAGTCAAAATATGCCTTTGTGCCAGGAGCGGTTAGTGGTACAGTGTTGTTCTGTATCAGTTTTTTCCCATTTTCTCATCGTCTTTTTCCCCTCCTGCTCCATAAAAAGTGCTTCTTGGTTGAACAATCTGTGATATTGCTGTGTAGTCATTTCTCACATTTCCTTGATTAGTAGTTTGCTTTGGTTTGTACAACCGGACCATTTCAGTGGGTCCTTGGTTGTAGGTAAAACATAAAAGATATATAAGGAACTCAGATATGAGTCATTTTCTGTTTATGCAGTAGTCTGCATGTCCTTTATGTCAGGTCGTGTGCCCATGTCACCTTCTTGAAAGACATGAGCTTTGCTAGCTAACTCACTTTGTAAAGTACCCAGTAGAGTGTCAGTTTCAAATGGGTCCCTAGCTGGGTTTTTTTTTTTTTTTGATGATTTAGCCATGTGTTATTTAATTTTCTCCAGGCATCTCCAGTGCTTCCTTGTCTGACCCACTTATACATGTCACCCATCATCCTTGCCTACATAGAGGTTGACTGATTTTGTTTTTGGTATTTTTGAGGAAAACAGTCATTTATCAGTGGCTCTACAGCAAGCTGATACAGGGACCGGGGTTGGGGAGCAAGTCTTCAACTCGAGAGCCAGTTCTTGCTATTTGGGTTAGAAAGTTTGCCACTGGAGAAGACAGAGCATCATGTTGGCAGAGCTTCCTGGTAGAGCCTTGCCTTAGTTCTGGAGCAAGTTCACACACTCTATGAAGATACTTGTGACTTTCTTGTACAATAGGGACACAGGGCCTTTAAATAACAAAATTTTTGTCATCTTACTATCCTCTTTTGTTGTATAGAATGGGATGGGAAAGGACTTCTGTTTTTCTGTGGAACTTTATTTCATTTTATAATTGTTCTTGTCCTTAAAAAAAAAAACGAGGGATGTCATTTAAGTGTTCACTGTTGGAAGTTATTATTGACTAATAGGTGTGTGACTATCAGGTGAGAAGTGGTGCCATGCTCTAGAACGAATTAAACAAGTTTTGCTATTGAATGAAATGGGTCTTGGGCAACTTTAAAACTCCACTAAAGCTGTGGGTTTTCTCCGAGGGGGTAAAACATAAGCACACGAACCCAGCAATTGCATACTTACTTAGGCAGACTTTTGCTATGTGCAGGAGGAACCCTGCCAGGGGTATAATAAGGCAGTGAGAACATTAAACCATTTCGTTTAGAAATCTTGTTTTTTTTTTTTTTCTTTTCTGTTAGAAACTCAAATGAGCATTAGAAAGTAGCTAATCATGAATTGAAAGTGATTGTAAGAAATGTACTGAGTAATTTTTAGTTTTGTTTCATGAACAAGGAGCAGCTTTCTTAAGGACTGAAATAAGGGATGTGGTTGTGAAAAATCACGTTATTTTATTCCTATTTCTGATAATGTTGTTAGGGTATAAAAGATTGAATCTTTTTCTTCTACCAGTCAAGTAGTAACTTTTTATGTTTAGTGGTTGGTTTTCACTTTAAAAACCACCATGTTTCTCATACGCACAGGTATTTTCTTTGTGGTGAGGTGAAACCCATTACTTCAGCCAGAGTAAAAACTTCAGTTCATTTGAAAGGAAAGAGGTCACCCAGACTCAGTATTAATGTCCACTCCTCAACCCATGAAACACACACATTTTAAAATCTTTTTCTAATTGAGGTATAATTGACATATAACATTGTATTAGTTTCAGGGACACAGTATTTGTATTTCAGGTGATTTGAAATTTGTATATATTGCAAAATGATCACCGCAGTAAGTCTAGTTAACATCTCTCACCATAGTTAAAATTTTTTTCTTGTGATGAGAACTTTTAAAATCTACTCACTCCCTTAGCAATTTCTAAATATGCAGTATGTGATCATTTTAATAGTACTTTAAAATATAAATCTTGGTTCCTGGGGAGGAGGTCGTTTAGAAAGATGATGGTGAGGAAGGAGAGGTGATGCTGTGGTTTTTGGCTCCTTGGCTCATGAGTCCGATTCTGTGACTACCGGTCAGTCCGTTTTGGAGAGGACTGTCCTGCTCTGATGGTATTCTGATTCCTAGATGTGCTAGTTTGCTTGGGCTGCCATAACATAATGTCAAGGACCAGATGAGGTGGCTTAAACAACAGAAATTTATTTTCTCACAGTTCTGGAGGCTGAAAGTTCTGACATCAAGGTGTGAACAGGGTTGTTGCCTTTTGAGGCCTCTCCTGTTGCCCGTTGCCTGGTGTCTCTCTCTGTATCCTAATCTCTTCTTATAAGAACACCAGTCACACTGGCTTAGGGCCCACCCTGACGACTCCATTTTTACTTAATTACCTCTTCACAGGGCCTGTCTCCAAATACAGTCACATCTGGGCTACTGGGCTCAGGGCTTCAGAATTTTGTGGGGACACAACTGAGCCCATAACACTAGGAAGTGCAAAATCTCCTTCCTTCCCTGGGATTTGAAGCAGATAAGGTGAACTGGGGGAAGAAGACAGACCTGTGGTTCTTAACATTGTTTCTGCCTCTGCAGATACTGGGCTAACTTAAAGTTGTGGTTCAAGCAGAAGATCAGCAAAGAAGAGTTTGACCTTGAAGCTCATAGACTTCTCACACAGGATAATGGTAAAACAGTTACCTGGGGAGTTATTTAACTGTTCTGAAGTTTTCCCAGATTTGCAATAAATTAAATTCTTTTCACTTAAAAAAATAAAATTTTGGTTTGAGTGGTCTGTAGGTCATTTAAATGATGTGGATATTAAAAATTAAGTGAAAAGAATGGCAGAGTCGGGGATATCGAAAGTCCTTAAAAACTAGACTGAAACAGTGGTTTCCTTATGTTGTAAATATTCTGTCTTTGACCTGTGACACTCTTCCCTTTTTCAGTCCATTCTCACAACGATTTCCTCCTGGCTATTCTCACGCGCTGTCAGATTTTGGTGTCTACACCAGGTAAGGGAGTGGAAATGCTTCCGGGGATGTCAGTCAGCAAAGCCACGGAGCACCAGGCTTGCTCGGCTTTTGCTTCCTTTAGCAGACACTTGGGTTGCTTGTCAATGACATGTTCTCTGAACTGCTCAGAAGAAACATTTTATTATGTAGTACAGATTCTTTTATAGAACCTTAAAAATTTTTTTTCTTTCTTTTTTATAATTCTTTTTCTTTTTAATTCTTTTTTTGGAGGGTGGGGTTAACTGGGTTTATTTATTTGATGGAGGTGCTGGGGATTGAACCCAGGACCTCATGCATGCTAAGCATGTGCTCGACCACTGAGCTATACCCTCCCTCCACCCCCGTAGAATCTTTTTAAAGCAGGTGGTTTCCTTGTCCTTACGTTGACTTTCGGGCTTTACTCCCCAGTCAGCGGGGTTTAGATTGCTTAAGTAAATGAGAGGTGGTGAGGAGGGTCGGTGATCAGGATAAAGATGCTGAGGAGCGTGAAGAGAGGGCGTTTGGTGTAGGAGAGGGTTTCCATTGACAGAGGGAAGACGAATTAGAGGGAGGGGAAGCCACAGCATATGTTGAGAACCTGGACTTTCACTCATATTCCTAAGTGAGATATTAGCACTGGAAGGTTAGAGCTTCAGCGTGTGTTTGGCAGATCGTTGGTGGAGAACAAAGGGAGCGGATAGCAGCATGTTGGGGTGTGTGTGGGAGCTAAGTCTGTCACTTCAGCCTCAACAGGTGTAGACAGAATGACCTCTTTGCCCCTGATTGTTTGGAGCTTAAGTGGTACAAGTCACATCTTTCAGCCATCGTATTTTAATCAGGTAGTCAAAAGTAAATGATTAAATACATTAAAATTTTGCCTTGTAATAAAACTTATCCAGGGCTCTAGTTAAACAGTTGGATTTACAAGTTCCTCCTGCTGTCGGTTGAGGTGAATTTGTTGCTGTTTTTAAAGGGCCTGTGGTGATTCTGATGATCATTTATTAAAAGCCCACATTTATCTAGAAATGGCTAGTATTTTGTACCAACCCTGTTGTACGATAGAGAATTCAGATAAGCTCCCCTGAAGCTCAGCTCCTCCCCACTTACAGAAGTTGCCATGGGTATGAAGAGCGGTAGGCAGGGAGGGTTTGTGGAGACTGGTGTTAGAGAGGAGAGGCTGCTTTCCTCAGCCCTCATCAGGCCCTCTCTGCAGAGTCTCACACTTTGTCAGATTTCTGATGTTTTATGTAATTTAAATAGAAGCGGACTTTAGCCAGTTAGATCATAAGGATAATTCACTTCATTGTATAAAATTTAATTTGACCTGAAAAGCCAACATTGTGAGGATTAGATCTCACTTTTTAGGTGGGTATATTCCAGAGTGCCCCACACCCAAAACAGTAAGTGGGATATTCGGGAATAAAACCCTTGGTTGATAAGAGTCAAGAGACTTGGATTCAAATTCAGGTTTTCCCACTTGTTTAGATACTGTAGTTAATTATTGAATGTTCTTAGCTTTCACATTTATAGCATAGGGACAGTAATATCTACCTTTCAGGGTTATAAAAAAGCAGATGAACGAACATGTAAAAAGTGTTTTTTAAAATAAAAAAATACCAAAACAATTATGAAGTGATATTAGTAAGTATAGGCAGCTGATTTTAATTAAATAAAGCCTTTGATATCCTTGAATGTTTGCTATTGACTATTTAAAAATAAACAAAGAAACATTGAAATTTGAGAGATTATTTCTCCCAAAGACCCAAAATATCTTTCCTCAAAACGAAATTCATATTTGCTGGCCACAAAGGGGTGATTTCTATTAAAAGTAAAACATAGAAATACAGTTTTTTGCACTTTAATAATTGTGGGCAGGTTGGTTACTATTTTTCTAACCCAGACAGGAAAGAGGATTTTAGATAAAGTTATTTATTGAGTAACTGCAATGCCCTAGACACTTCGCCTGCGTTATCTCTAACCCTCACAACAACTCTGCAGGGTGTTAGTCTCTTTATAGATTAGGAAACAAACTTTGGAGAGAAGAAAACAAGAGAAAGTGAGAACTTACCTGAGGTCTTCTTCAGCTAGTCAGTAGAAGGGTTGGATCCAAACTGAAATCTGACCGCTGCCGTAAAGCCCTCCGTCCTCCCTTGGGGTTGGAGTCAGTTCTGACCGTGCTTCGCTTCCTCACCCAGAGTGTCTGGCCACTCAGCTGCAGCATCACCTCACATCCACTTCCATGCGTCAGGAATAGATTTCTGTGGGAAATCAACTAAGACTGACTGGCCGTACCAGGTGTGATCTGGGTGTGCCGAAGACACTTTAAGTGATGGAAAAGAGGAACTTGACTTCCCAAACAGTCCTTTTTTAACTGAGGCACTGGGAGTATTTTTTTTTTTTTCAAAGCTTTACAAACTCATTCTTCCAAAAACATCAACATGAAATAATGTTTTGCTAGAATGATGGGTGATTTTTTTTCTTAAAAATTTTTTTGAGGGTATTTTTTCCAAGTGTTTATAATGAGCTTGTATTACTTTGATTTTTTTAACATCATATATGTTCATAGTTTTAAAAAAATAGTATAGAAGGTCATGAAAAGCTTCCCACTCCTAGACCTGTTCACAAAGACAACTGCTTTTGTTTTTTGTGTTTCTGGTGGGACCTCAATAGTTCCTCATAGTGTGCTTAAAAGATTTTTCTCAATTTACTGATTTTAAACATCTGTCTCACTGTCTTATTGCTCTGTGTTTTGTGAGATTTCCTTAATTCTTTCTTTCAGCTTTTCTGTCCAATGCATTCACTAACTCAGCAGTTTTTATAGCATCTTCTTTTTGTTTTTATGGATACACGTCTTCTCAAACTTCTCTGAGGATACGAGTTAGAAATTATTCAAAGTCCTTTGTGTTGTCTGAATTCCTTATTTCTAGGATCTCTGCTTTTTGCTTGTTTAGCTTGGTTTTCCCTATCATGTTGCAGATTATCATCAGATGGCTAGTGATTCATATTTAAGATTGAAGCATAAAACTGCCTGGAGATTGTGCTTTAGGGTGAGCAGGCAGGGGAGGGGGCCAGCCATTGCAGTGGGGTTCCTCAGCTGCCAGCCTGCAGAGAGCTGTGCTCTAGGGTGCTAACGTCTATGCCAGCTACCTTGGTAAATCCCAGAAATTTTGTTCTATTTAACTAGGGAAGAGTTCTCCATTCTCTTCCCCCCACTGGTACACATAGCCTACACATACGTAAACCATGTGTGGGAGGGAGCAGGGCTGGTTTCATGGGCCAGGAACTGCCCATGAACTCAGAAGGGCCCCCACACTTGGTTTAAAGCTCTGCTGAGGTTGTCTTGAAATTCTTTTGAACAAGGGACCCTGTCCTAGGGGCAAGGGAAGGGGTTTGTGTGGATGACTCTCCAGTATAGATCTTCCATTAATTTTGTTTTTAGCTATACTGTCCCTCCTGGTTTCCACTGCCCTTACCTTCTCCAAGTCGAGATTCTTTGTGGATTTCTACTGGGCAGGTTGACTTGCTTCCACTTCACTTACCAACTTTGCCTAGCTCAGATCACAGCTTTGGACAGATCATATGTCCACTTTTTAAGTCGACTCCTCTCCACCCATCGTTGAAATTTGTTGAGCTCTCATCTTGTCCACCACTCATTTTCCTTTTTATCTCTGTTGTGGATGTGTGCCATTTACTTTTTTCTGCTGTCGTTTTTAGTAGTAAAGTCTTGGCCGAGAGAGATAAATACCTCTTCTCCATCTTGAACTAGAAAATTCTGGCCTACTTTTATACTACTACTGCTACTAGTAAGCAAACAAACAGCCAATAAACAGTTAAAAATGTGAAAAACGAATTTGTCTTCTTAAAAGAACAATTTTGGTTATAGCTAGAAAAACATGCGATTTGAGAGAATTGAAAATTTTGTTTAGAGAAGCAGAAAGAGAAGACCTGAATTTTAAGCATTTATTACTTTCAGCACTTAAGCAAACTTAGCAGTTACCAGTTGTCATTCTTTCCTCTTAATGACTGTTATTTTTCTGTCTCATAGAGGGTGCTGGATCTTTGCCCTGGACAGGGGGTTCTGCAGCCAAACCTGGAAAACCAAAGGGAAAGAAAAAGCTTTCTTCTGTTCGTCAGAAATTTGATGTAGGTTGTTCTTCAGTAGATCTTGGTAACGATTAACTTAAGTACTGGTATGACGGAACTGGCTTTAGTGTTTAAATGAATGTTATAACTGGTAGTAGCGTTGAAAAAAAGGAGCATGATTTGGGGAGAAAAAGGTGTTTCTGTATTTAAAGTTGGTAAGGTTTCAAAGATTGTGAGTCCCAGGTGTCTGAATTTTTATAATTCTAGTTTGTTATTGCATAAATACTAAATATGTTATCATTAGTACCTAATGATTTTTCAGTGATTCAAAAACTGTGCCTGTGTATCTTTCTCCTCTTAAATTTTTTTGTTGAATGAATAATGTTTCTCAGATTGAGACTTCTGCTCCTAGGGTCCTGGTGATGCCCAGCTGGGCCTTGAGCCTTCTGGGGGTCCTCAGAGAAGTCTTGAAGGCATTGCACTGTGAAACTTGTAAACATGTTAGAATAACTTGCTTTTTCCAGTTTATATCCAGGGAACAATTTTCCCAAAAGTATGCCTTTTATAGATGTGACTGGGTATTGATAGCTTTATTGATTAACATCAACAAATATTTATTTTTACCTTTGCTCTATGTTTTATATCAGTAATATTTGCTCTGCAGAGCATCTGTATCTCCAGAGAGGCATACACTTGACTTAAAAAGGCATATTCGATATAAAATACTGTTTTATACTTACTTGGAAACCAGAAAAACAACAGGTGTTCCTCTTATAGTACAAACTTCAAATGGGACAAACCACATTTGCTACAAAAATCTTATATGTTGGGCTTAAACAAAAGCTAACGGGGTTTATCTCCCGCTGATGATGGAGAATGTAAATGGGCTCTCAGAATCTCCCAGAGGAAGGCTGAGGTTTTATGAGTGGAAAAGATTGGGAAAAACTATTTTTAAAAATGCTAAAGACTGTGTCTTAGAAAGATTCTGTGTTGATGATTTTAGGTAGGAGATAACAGTAACTGAAGAGTTACACTACACCGTGTTCTCTTGGAATATTTGTTATTAGATCTGTTATATTGGTTGGCTAGGCTTTTTCGAGCTTTTTTGAAGCATTAATTACATATTTATACTTTCAGAATCTGCTTACATAACAAATATACTTCAAATGCTCTGACTTGTTTGAAAATAGTTTTATATCTTTTCCTTCTCCTTGCTTGTTATTTTTAGCACAGGGCCATATATTCTGTGATTACCAAGGTATTAACTGAATAGAATAAACTACTGTACATACTACCATAATCCCCCTTAATTCATGTCTTCATTATTACCGTGTAATGGATGTGAATCTGATTATCTGTGCATGAGTTCCTTTTTTTTTTAAACCTTTGTGGTATGGTTTTGGTCGCATTAATTTGTGGGATCTCAGGTCTAGTACACTGATGACTTTTGTTTGTGTCTTGTTACTTGCCGTGGTAATGAATAATTTGAGAAGTTTTCTTACCCGTAGCATAGATTCCAGCCTCAAAATCCCCTCTCGGGAGCCCAGCAGTTTGTGGCAAAGGATCCCCAAGATGATGATGACTTGAAACTTTGTTCCCACACAATGATGCTTCCCACTCGGGGTCAGCTTGAAGGGAGGATGATAGTGACTGCCTACGAACACGGGCTGGACAACGTCACCGAGGAGGCTGTCTCCGCTGTGGTCTATGCGGTGGAGGTTAGTTTGCTGGTGGCAGAAACACCCTGACAGATTGAGTTGTGACAGGCTTGTGTGTATTGTTCAGAGTTGATACTGCAAGAAAAGAGCCAAAGTGTCACTCTGATCTCAGAATTGTCATAGTTGAAGTTCTTCTCTTTTGAGAGGAGAAACACATCACAGTCCAAACAGTTGCCTTTAGTTAAGCTTTTTAGACAGGTTACTTACGGCCTAACACTTCTGCTTGATCTGATGTCTAATTTGTCAACAAGAGAACAAATTTTAAGCAAAAAAAAAAAAAGAGATTGAGAATCCTAAAGATTAAAATGCTTGATTTTGCTGTGGCACAGAACTGAAGAGCATTATCAGACTTGGCGTCTGAACCGTGGGATTCTTGTCCCAGCACACGCTTCCTTCCTCCGTTCACTGTCCTCAGTGAGGCGCATGATGAAATGTGCACCAGGTCTGTAGTGCACAGGGGCTTTTAGGTGATGCTGGGTAACTCCTTTCAGTTCTCTGGGCCTCCGTTTCCTCGCCTGTACCTCAAAGATAATAATAGCTGTCTCATGAAGTTATAAACATTACGTGACTTCTGTGTGTGGAAATTATAAACTGTACCATGAAGTCCCGATTTGAGATGATCTTACTGCTAACACCGTGCCCGACCCTGGCTCCCCTGTTAATAGTGCTAGGCTGGGACTAGTTCTATCCTGTTTTCACAGACACTCTCTAACCCTCTCCTATGTACTTGGCTCTCACAGAGGTGAAGAGATATTAAATACCTAACTTTCTGTTTATTTCCTACGTGCCTGTCATTCATATGGCTTTTGAGAGAGCCAGGGTTCTTTTCATGCAAGGATGTTAGTAGATTGGGTGCTATAACCAGTGCATCCCTGATCTTGAAACTTTTTGTCCCATTTTTAAACCAAACTTCAAGGTTGTCTGCCTCTTAAAAATTTATATATTTTTTGTACTTTTATTTAAAGCTATCTGAAAATCATTGTTGAGAGAGAGGAGTCAATATAGAGATAGAAAAACTAATAAATTTCTTGTAGAGCAAGCCCATCTTAAACAGAACTAAATAAAAATAGCACGTCTCGCCCCCTCCTTTACCCTCCTGCTCTGCTGTGGCTCTGTGGCTCTCCTGTTCATTTGGTTTCAGCATTTGCTGGCTTGTCTCACCTCTCCATCCACTAAATGCCAATCCACATTTTTTGGTCAATGGAAGTTTTATGATTTGCTTTTAAAGAGGAGTTCATGCTATTTTTCTTTCTTTTTTTTTTTTCTTCTTGTTTTTACAGAATCACCTTAAAGATATATTGACATCAGTTGTGTCAAGAAGGAAAGCTTATCGATTACGTGATGGTCATTTTAAATATGCCTTTGGTAGTAATGTGACCCCCCAGCCATACCTGAAGAATAGTGTAGTAGCTTACAACAACTTAATAGAAAGGTATATAACATTTCTTGTGGCTTTGCACCCATCCTTTCTAGTCCGTTACACCACTCTTACATAATAGACCACTGTTAAATAATTGGTTATTGTGTGTCTGCAAGTCTGCGGTAGCTCTGAAAGCTGTGCTGTTTTATTTTCTTAAGTTGCATCCTTGCCTGATAACTAGTGAACCCTTTTGGTTCTCTTTATATCAGAAGTGAAGTTGTAGAGTTCGGCTGCTGCGTGTGGTTTAATGTGAGTGCCCCTCCCTTTCTGAGCTGCAGTGGACTCGTTCCCTGGGGCAGTGCGTCCTGCTGGCTCCTGATGGACAGCACCTGCCTGGTGGTGGGGGCAGGCTGGCACTCGCTCAGAAACGTGGCCTCTGGTTGCTGGGTCAAGGCTGGGTTTTTTGGTGGTGGGAGGAGGAGCGGTGGGTATTTCTCCAGGTCCTCATCTGGCTTTTGTAGCTGCAGCCTAAGATAGTGGCCTGTGCTGAGTGTTGTCATCTTGCTCTTGGCATCCTCTTATGCAGCTCTGGTCTCTCAGCTCCAGTGTCTGGGACCCCTCTGCCTGCATTCCACTGAGGGCTCCCTGGGCCTCTCTGATGTCCCGAGTCCTCCCTCTGAGATGACCTGGGCTACCTTCATCTCTGTGTTGTCTGTTTGCAGGGACAAGGAAGGTAAAGAGATGACAGGGAGATAAAAGTTCTGAGGAAAAGGTGACGGGGAAGGCAGGAGGAGTGTTAGGGCTGCAGGTGGGAGGGCTGAGCTGACCGCGCCGGCACCACAGGGAGGGGTGGGACTGGTGCCTGTTTCAAGGCCCTTGACACGGCTCACAAGGCCCATTTTGAAGAGCAGCACCTTAAATTGGGTTCACTGTTCACATTGCCATAGGTGAAGATTTCCTTTCTCGGTCTCATTCCGGCATATCTGTTTGGGATTATTTGTTCTCATTTGGGAGTCATTCTTCTCTAGAGACAAAAACAAACCCCAGAAAGTGGGCCCTGGTCGTGGGTGAGTGCTGGAGCGGTGTCTGACCCTCCGGCCCTCCGCCTGCCGGCCCGTCCCTGGGACGGCCTCTCCCCCGCCGCCCGGCTTGTTTCTCCAGCCGAGCTGCCCGTCTGCTGCCCGCACTGCTCACGCCCCAGCAGTGCTTCCCATCCTCCCAGCTCCCTCCTCACTGTCGTTTCTCCTGCGTGTTCTCCACAATTGCATAGGTTTTCTCCTACTGTAAATGATGCAAAAATGCCTGTCTCCCCAGCTGATGTTATATCTGGGTTCTAATTTGGGAAATTGGCGAGATCTGGATTTTGTCCACCCGCCATTTCTGCCTGTTGCTTCTTTTGTGCTGTGTCTTCTTTCCATGTTTGTTGTTTTTGATCCCATTGTCTCTAGTACCATTTACCTTCCTCTCCAAATCAGTTGTTTGTAATGCCATTTTCCTTTAATTAAGTTTTTTTTAAATTTTTTTTAACAACTAGAAGCTCTTTAAGGGCAGGAAACAATTTTGGCTCAGTATCCTGACTGAGTAAATATTTTAACATTGTGGAGGGAGGAAGGGAGGGAGGGAAGGAGGGAAGGAAAGGGTAAAGGCAGTTGCATGACATTTTATTTCCAGCCCGACAGATGGCTGCCTTTAAAAATTTAAATTAATTTTAATTAATTTCTGATTCGTTTTTAGATATATTTGATAGGGAGTTTTCTAGCCACCCTTCCCTATTCTAGTTGTTTGGTTGCTTCCATCCTCGTTACCGGGGAATATTTCTGAAATGTTCTGTTTTCAGCCCCCCAGCCTTTTCTGCTCCCTGCGCTGGCCAGAACCCGGCGTCCCACCCGCCCCCCTGACGACGCCGAGCAGCAGGCTGCGCTCCTGCTGGCATGCTCGGGGGACACGCCGCCCGCGTCTTTGCCTCCAGTGAACATGTACGACCTTTTTGAAGCTCTGCAGGTAACTCTGGGCTCCTTAAGCTTTACCTCGATTTATGGGTAGGTTCAGAGTTTCTTCAGGTCTCCAAAGGTATTCACCAGCTTTTCCATTTCCTGGCTTTTTTGAGTGTGTTTTTCAGTTTTTATTATTTGTAACTAAAGCCATCAATACTGGCCTCATTTTGCAGATCCTGAGCCCAGGAGTCCTTCCTAACTTACCTCCCCTATCCCTCACCTCCCCAGTGAACTAAAGAAAACTCCCTTTGTTATTTTAGAGCCTTGTTACATCCTTGTTTTCGTGTTACCTGATTCAGGATTCAGTAGGTTCTGACTTAAAGTTTATAGGTTTGTGTGTCTTTTGTGTGAGCCTTTTGTTGATAGAAGCCTTACTTTCATTTTGTATGTTGGAAAAATAAGTATACTGAAGTATAATTGGAGATGTGCTGATTTTTCAATCCCAGGTACACAGGGAAGTCATTCCTACACATACCGTATACGCGCTCAACATTGAAAGGATCATCATGAAACTCTGGCATCCAAATCACGAGGAGCTGCAGCAAGACAAAGTCCACCGCCAGCGCCTGGCAGCCAAGGAGGGGCTTTTGCTCTGCTGAATTAGGATTTGAGGTGTGGGACCCTCAGCAGATTCATTGACTACTGGGGATTGAATGTTTTCAAGTCCACATTTCGAGACTGAAGTGTCTAGTGTAAATACTACCTTTCCTATGGAAACGTGACATTGAGTACATTTTGTGCTGCTGCTGTGAAGCCGTTAATATAAATCTAATTTTGATAATGACTCATATCTCTGTATGTATGGGCTCTCAGTTATGGGAGTAGGCGCTGAGAAAATTGGGTGCCCGGAATGGAGATGTTCAGGCATCTTAGGGTGGTACCCTACGGTCTGCATGTGAGGTAGGTGACATTCTAGAACAAAGAAGCTGTTAGCACTTAGTCCCCATGATCAGCAGGGATGTCTCTGTGTTCAGAGACATCACATATTCTCTAGCTGGCAAGTCCAAACTTTCTGCTATTTTCCTGAAGAGCTGTGCTTTTAACACAGAGTTAAAAATCGGTCATCGTTTTTAGTCACCAGTTTAATTTTTAAGACTTCGGTAGTTGCCTTAAGATTCATTACAACTCCATAAAAAATAAGACTTAGAAATGCTGTGCTATTAGACAAAGTCCTTTCTTTAAATTAAAAGCCAGAATCAAAGCAATCGCTTAGAATGTAATTAACCTCATAAAATATCTTCTCATAACGCAAGTTCCTTCCGTAGTTATTATGCCTGAAAGCTTTGATTGGCAGGTTCATGTGTTATTCCTATAGAATGTTTAAAGAAGTCCATATAAACATATTGGGTTTATATTTGGTAATTCGCTTATTCCTATGAAATATCTTTTTCTCTTGTTTCAAGTGACAGACAGCATTGCTAGTAACAAGTTTGTTTTTGAGAGATATGTTGCTTTTTGTTCAAGAGATATTACTGGTGGCTGTATCAGGCTCAACAGATGGGTTTCAGGAGGTCTAAGTAACGTATGTATAGGTATGCATTTATGGTCCAGTATCTGCATCTGTGTGTTTGGTTTTGTACTTTAAATGTGATAAGTAAACTTTTGGGGAGAAAACTTTTGTTTGTTTGTTAAAGTAAACATACCAGACATACTGCCTTCTACAGAAATACGAAGAAGCTTTATGAGATCCTAGCAGAGACTTTTCAGAAGAATGTACTAGGTGAGAAAGATGAAGCAGCAGGTTCCAGTTAAGGCGTGCCCTTTCTTCCTTGTGTGACAGGTAGATTAAGACAAAAAAAACCCAGCTTAGTTTCAGTTATTGGCACACATCTGAAAAGTTCTTTAGAGTTTTGTTAGATAACTCAAGAATTTTTAGGGTTTGTAAGAATTTAAACTGACATCTGACTGCATATAAGGGTTTTGCTTTGGACCATCCATATATCTGAGCCTTAATGCTAAGTATGTGCTAAATTCCCCGTGTTCCATAGATGGGAGAGGCAGCTAGAAGCCTCCGATGTGTCCTCCTGCCCGTTGCAGTGGCAGGTTCCATAGAAATTTGTTAACAGAGGAACCTCCAAACAGAAAAACTCCTCACTGCTCTCTAGGACCTGGCCTAAATCTCTGGAGTCATCTACTTTGGTGGGACTATGGGACACCAGAGGTCTCTCTTCACTTTGTAAGTTTTGGGCCTACACGCCAGTTTTCCTCAATCATTTTGTGCAGCAGAGGGATGGAGTTGCGGGCAGGGCAGGCAGGTGGCAAGAGTGATACTTAGGATTTTTCAAGAGAGACTCTGAGATTCAAAGACCTCTGTTCCACCAGATGCTGCCTCCAGCTCTCGCACCACTGCCAACTGTGGGATCCTAGGTGCAGTCTCTTCTACAATTAGGCTTTTAAGAAATCACGAGTGCTTATTATCAAGCATCATTTAGAAAAATAACTATTTCAGTGAGGAAATAAACTACTAGAAACCAGATAACTCTAGGCTTAGAATAAAGCTTATTTTTCCCATAGGGGTTTCAGTGATTGACTTTCAGCTCTAGGTGTGTCATTGTGCACAGCCAGGTCTGATAAGGCGCAGCTGATTTTCTACCAGGCTTGGCACACATTATTACCACCTTTATCAACCATTGCTGGGATCAACCAAGTACACAGTTCTTCCAACACTTCTCCCCTTGCCTGAAGTGATCAGGATGTTCCTGATCGAATTTCATAAATTGTCTTTTAAATGATTCCTCTCTTTGACCATGGATAAATACCTTTGTTCCATCATGTCTTTTGAGTCAAATCAAAATGCCTCCACTTTGAATAACGGTAAGGAAGCTTGCTTTTAGGGCTCAGACTTGGATGCTGTCATCAACAGATTGGTTCAGCATTTAATACTGACGGCTTAAAACAGGAAAAGTGTCTAGGTTATTCTTGGAGAGCAGACTAATATTTAATTGAATCTTTGGGCATGGTAAATTGTCAGGGCTGATTTTACTAAAAGCACACCATGAAGGGGCACACAGGTTCATCATACTTCGGAAAACTAAGTCTTCTGTTTATCAACTTGCTAGCATGTTCCCACTCTTTTAAAATTAATTATCCCTACTACAAAGCCAAAGTAATCGAAACAGCGTGGTATTGGCACAAAAACAAACATATGGATCAGTCGAATAGCATAGAGATCCCAGATATAAACCCGCACACCTATAGTCAATCTACAAAGGAGGCAAGGATATACAACGGAGAAAAGTGGTGCTGGGAAAGCTGTACAGCGTATGTAAACTAATTAAATGAGAACACTCCCTCACACCATACACGGAAATAAACTCAAAATGTCTTAAAGGCTTAAGTGTAAGACACCATAAAATTCCTTGAAGAGGAAATAAGCAAAACGTTCTCTGATATAAATCATAGCAAAGTTCTCCTAGTTGCAGACTACCCAGGCAACAGAGATAGCAAAAATAAACACATGGAACCTAATTAAACTTACAAGCTTTTGCACAGCAAAGGAAACCATAAATAAAATGAAAAAACCTGCAGAATGGGAGAAAATACTTGCAAACAATGCAACCGACAAGGCCTTCATTTCCAGAATATACAAACAGCTCATAACAACCCAATAACAACAAAAAAGCAGTCCAATCCAAAAATAGGCATAGGACCTAACAAACATTTCTCCAATGAAGACATACAAATGGCCAATAGGCACATGAAAAAATGTTCAATGTCACTATCAGAGAAATGTACATCAAAACTACAATGAGGTATCACTTCACACCAGTCAGAATAATTAAAAAGTCCACAAACAATAAATATTGGAGAGGGTATAGAAAAAGAGAACCCTTCTACACTGTGGGTAGGAGTGTAGTTTGGTGCAGCTGTTATAGAAAACAGTAGGGAGATTCCTTAGAAAACTGAAAATAGACTTACCCTAGGATCAAGCCATCCCACTCCTGGGCCTATATCTGGAGGAAGCTCTAATTCAAAGATACATGCACCCCAATGTTTATAGCAGCACTATTTACAATAGCTAAGACATAGAAGCAAACTAAATGTCCATAGACAGATGACTGGATAAAGAAGCTGTGGTAAACACACACACACAGGAATACTATTCAGCCATAAAAAAGAATGCCATTTGCAGCAACATGGATGGACCTGGAGATTGTCACACTTAGTTTAGTAAGCTAGAAAAAGAAAGAAAAATAGCATATGGTATCACTTTTTTGTGGAATCTTAAAAAAAAAAAAAGGACACAAATGAACTTATTTACAAAGGAGAATCATAGACATAGAAAATAAACATGGTTACCAGGGAGAAAAGCAGGAGAAGGGATAAATTGGGAGTTTGGGCTTTGCAGATACTAACTACTATATATAAAATAAACAGCAGGGTCCTACTGTACAGCACAGGGAACTATATTCAGTAACTTGTAATGGCCTATAATGAAAAAGAATATGAAAAAGAACATATATATGTAAGTATATATATGAATCATTACACTGTACACCAGAAATTAACATAAATTGACCATACTTCAATTAAAAATAAATAAATAAATAAAATTAATATCCCTTTATGGATTTCCTTCGTGTGATTTCGGTAACGTAGCATCCAAACATGACTGAAGGAAAAAAGCTGTTTATGCCAGGTCCCTTTCCCTCACCTTTAAAAGCCAGTTTAAAAACACAAATAACATTTTTCTTCGTCTTTAAAGACATAAACATCACTTACATTGCCATCCCATGAACAGACTTTTTATTCAAGGGTGCAATCTATTGGCACCAAACTGAGTGGAGAATAAAGTGTCAACAAGACTCTGAAATATGACTTTTTTACAACGCTAGCAGGTAAACAATAAATAAAACCACCATAGCCTATGGTCTTTATTAACAAAGTTTATTGTTGGAGTCAGTTCCTACCTACTGGGGAGTACAACTATGTTTCAATATGTGCTCTAGTAATTCTAGGGTAATAGCCGTTCTGCAAAATAGTCGTACTGGGGCTCTGTTAGGCATAGATCGTAATTAAGTCAGTGGAAGAATGAGCCCAGAAAAACCCTGACAGTGGAGCCATTACTCTAGGGAAGTTCCAGTGCTATGCAACCTGTAAGGCATCATCTATCAGCTGACGATGAGACTCAAGGAGGTGTCAGTGGAATGAAACAGGAGTTGAACCCATTTTTTACTCTTCTCTGCAAGATAACTATGGCTCCAATGCAGGAACCCAAAATTAGGTCTTATAAAAGTCCTTTAAACTCCCAAAGCAAGTAAAATTGGACATAGAGAAGAAAAGGGCCAGGAACCAGGACAGTGGACGATAAATTAAGAGGAACAGGAGGGAATGAAAACTTCTGGAATGAAAAGTAGCTGGATTTGGATGCCACTTGAGATGACAAGGATTACAGTAAAAGTAGGTGGGGAAATAATTCAAATATCTAAAGTTATTCAGATATCAGAAGTTAAGTGAAACTTTCCCTCTTGGAGAAAAACTGGTTTTAAATAAGGAGGAAGGTGAATCACTAATAGGTAAATGAGTACCTGAGTAGAAATAGGTGTTTCAAGATGCCAAAAGGAGTATGTTATACAAATGAGCTGGGTCTACAGGAGGGAAGAGTGGTTATGGTAGCCTGTTATCCAGATTTGACATTGGAATGACATTTCTAGCAATGGCTTTGTCTATGAGGTTCTGGCATATTTTCTGTAGCACAGATAGCTTTGAAGGAATGTTTTCCTAACACCCAGCTTATGTGGGAATGCAAATTACTATAGTGTAAAAATTCAAAGACCTCCCACCTATTCCTGCAGGACAGAAGATTAGAAGTCTTGAAACAGCAGGGCTGAAGGCCCAAGCTCTCTTACCACTCTTGTGATAAAAATATTAAAGAAATTAACAAAACAGGTATCAGATGAGTCAATGAGCCTTGTACCATGTAGACAGCAGATAATTTATCGTGACTTCTTCTGCAGGCAGCCTGAGAAACAGAAGAGCTTGGGCACTAAATGCTACCCTATCATTAAATATAATAATAATAAAGAAAAATAGGGCCATTAAGTGAGACCCTAAAAAAGTCTAGCTGCCAACCAGATTGGGAAGATAAATAAAACAGCATAGTTTATTTTAACCTGTATCTTCCACGCTAACCTAGCCTGTCTCTAGAAAAGCCATCTGCTGGCACCAGGCCAGTAGGTCTGAATTTTGTGATCATTAGCATCTCATGTTTCCAAAAGAGAAAATGTGTAAGTAGCAGGTGTGCAGAAATGACCAAGCCCACAAAGCATTTTCTGTAGTCTCGACCTGTGTGGGGACAGGTTCTACGGATGGAAGCATTCTGAAGGGCAGAAGAAAACATTTACTTGGGGTTCTCTCCACAGAAGGGAACCGGCGGAGTTGGGCCCGTCTAAGAGTCTCTTGTTGGTGCTGAACAAATGGTCTCTTCGCCAGGAAATATCTTTGTTCATTCCTATTTACAGGTTTCTTCCAATGGACACGTGGAGTAATCTCTAAAACAAGACATGAGGCAGAAGCAGTTTCTTTTCTAGTCACGGCTTTGATGAGATTAAGGGTCCTGGACTCTTCTGACACCTCAGGGGTGTGGGGCGGGGCCGGGCCGTGTCCCAGGATGG